GGGGGGGGCTCCCCTCCAGCCGTAAACAACCCCAGAGCAGCTGTGCAAGGCAGGCTGGTCCCCCAACATCTATTTCTTCTTCCCTGCAAGCCCCAGGATCCCCCAGCACCTTTAAGGTCCCCTGGTTGCTGGCACCGTGGCACAGGAGCACTGTGTGCCCAAGCACCATGGGAGGAGAGCAGGAAAGCTCAGGCCAGCTGGAGACCTCCAGGGCTGGTGAGAGGGGTCTGTGTGTCCCCTGTCCCTCTGCAAGGCACAGGTACCCAGAGCCTCCACCCAACCTGGCTGCACCCCCACACCCATCCCATCACCTACTGTCCCTGTGGGGGGGCTGGAGGGGACCCTGATGAACAGTGAGCTGCAGCATTTTGCTATAAACCAGTCTATTCTCACCCAAGCAGTTAGCTAACCCTGAGCATCAGTACACGTCCCTGGTGCCAGCTACTGCTTCTAGTGAATTCTCTCGTCATCAGCCTGGATCATTGCGTGAGGAGTTAGGGCCCATGTCCTCGCCCCCTTCCCATCCTGGAGCACATGAAGACCCACAGAGCTCACATCCACAGGACCTGCTTTCTGCAAAGTCACCCACCCCCTACTCAACCCCTCATCTTAAATGTGGCAGAACCCAGCTGCAGAGCACTCCATTTCCCAGCAGGATCAGACCCCAGTTCCTGCCCTCCCTGAGGCAGGTCCCCCAGGACAGCGCAGGGGGAGGCTGCACACCATCACCCGAGTGTGCTGTGAACTGCCCAAGCGGTGGGGAGCCGCATCTCCCACGGGGTGACTCCTGGCTCTGGCGGATGAACTACCTTGCAGCCTGGGGTCCTTCCTGGGGTGGGTGGCACAAGCCCTATCCAGGGGAAAAGCTGGGGAGGAGAGGATGGGCAGGGCACTGTGAGGGATCTGGGGGAGAAAAGGGACCATGGACAAGCCATGGGGAAGGGCAACAGCACCCTGGAAATCCTTCTCCCACCACCAGACCCTAAGCCCACACCAGGGATGAGTAAAGCAGAGCCAAACCTGCCCATGTCCTGGGGAATGGAGCAGGTGGAGTCTCAGCCACATCTGCTGGCCTTCCCCCTGTCTGCAGACCAGCCAAGCCACACTCTCAATGTCCTTCCTCTCCTGCTTTCGCAGGACAGCCAGGCCCTAGGGTTGCTCCGCCTGAGCTGCATGTGCTTATCAGCACTGTATGGTGAGCAAGACCCAGAGCAGGAGGGATGAGGCCATGCTCTCAGCAAAGCCTTGTGCATAGAGGAGCTCCCCTGATGCACAGGGTAGGTTAGTGAATCACTACCTGCTTTTTCCTGTCCACCTCTAAAGGATGCAAAGACGTAGTCTGGGAGTATCTCCCAACAGCTCTCACCTGCCAGTGCAAGTTTCTTCCCCACTCAAAGGCATAGCAGAGAGATCTTGCACTGATGAGGTGCTCAGGAAGGGCTCCCAGCACGGGGGTCTCCACCAGCCTGAGTGGTGTTGGCCATACAGCCTGTGGGCGAGCTGTGCCACTGGTGGTCCGCAGTGCCAGACACGTGCCCTGTCTTTGCAGGGTGGCTGTCGTGGGGACCAGGCTGCCCTGCCTGGAGACAGCCTCCTGCTGCCAGCTGAGGCCACGTCAGGCTGTGTCCCCTATGTCCCTAGCAGAAGGGGATGCAGGACTATACGGGCCCTAGCTCTGCCCCATAGGACCATCATCACATGCCAAAGCCCAGCACTATCTGCCTGCTGGCTAGCTGGACACCCCAAGAAACAGACCTCAACCCCCACTTCTGTGTTGGCTTTCAGTTGCTGACTGCAAAGCGCCGCCAGAGCTGGAGCACGGCTTTGTCACCTTTTCCTCCATGAACAACCTCACCACCTACCGAGCAGCCATCCAGTACCACTGCCAGCACCCCTACTACCACATGGCCCCCAACAGCACTGGTGAGCGGTGGGGCCGGGCCGCATCCCCACGGCACGGTGTGGGTGGGTGCGTGGCCATGCATGTGTGCGTTTGCAAGCAGGGGGAGCTTGGGATGGCCGCTCTGGGATGCTCTGCAAGCAGCAGGCTGTGGATGTAGCCTACACACATTGTACCCTGCATCTGCACATCCTGGATTGTCAGACTGGCCGCATCCTACTCCACAACGAGGTAGGACAGAGTTAGCACTGCCTGGTGCATTGTCCACATATTTTGTAGCCTCAGCAGAGCAGTGTGGCTGCTCTCCTGAACTCTGCCTTCTCACCCTGCCATCTGCTCCCTGCAGCATATGCAATTTTCTGTGTCTCGGTGAAAGGAGCTGCTGCTGGAGAGAGCACCAGGTCCAGCAGCCCCAGAAAGGGCTCCACAAGGCTCCCCATCCCAGCACCCAAAAGTCCAGAGTAGCCAAAGCTGAACAGACAGCAGCTGAACAGATCATGGCAGACTGGGTTTCCACCTCATCCCCGTGGTCCACAACCACAGAGACGCCACAAGGTGCTTTGCCAAGCACCACAGGTCTCTGCACCCTTCGGACCCAGCTCTGAGCAGCAGAAGGGGTATGCATACACACCGCAGCCCTCCTTCCTCCTCCCTCAGCAGGCAAAGCCAAAGGATTTCCTCACATTCCTCTCTCCCTGCTCATATCCCCCTGCATACCCACTGGCCTCGTGCATCTGGTCCTGGCATCCGGCATGCATTAGCAGAACAGGCACTGGCAGCGTTAATGGGGCAGCAGCTCCCAGCTGGGGCTGAGGGCACAGCACAGCCCTCCAGAAGCAATAAAACTGAGGATGGTGGCATGTCCCCCACTGGGGACAGGACTGCTGCCCACCTCCCCCCCACCTCCCCAGGGAATGGAGCCCAGAGAGCATAAAAGGGCGATCACCTCCTGCTCTCTAAAAGGGTTCAAAAGGCGCTGACTGCTGGGCAACATCTCACTGCAAAAGACATCCCCTCATGCCAGGGCCACAGCCCAGCTAATGCTTTGCTCTCTTCCAGCCACCTACACGTGCGACGCATCAGGGGTATGGAGGAGCGAGGAGCTGGGGACCAAGCTGCCGTCCTGCCGACCAGGTACTAGTGCTGGGACAGCTGGTCCCGTGGCAAGGGGTGTGGAGCAGGGACATATGGCGGGGGGAATGCCTCTGTGCCAGACTTGACCTTCTGCAGTGACCCTGCTCCCTGGTGACAATGCCATATGCCTTGGCTATAGATATCCAACTGCTGCAATGGGGACAGAGGCCTCCTGCTATCCCGGCTGGCCCAGACAGAGGGTCAGGGTGCGGTGGTGGCACTGTGCAGCAGTGATGTCACCCTGGCAGTACAGGGCAGCAGTGGGGTCACAGCCATCCTGGCTGTCAGGGGTCCCCGAGCTCTCCACTCCAGCAGACAAGGAAACCAGCAGCCTCAGGCTCACTGGCCATGTTCAGCCCTCAGCATCACCAGAGATGGCTCCAGCCAAGGGCAGAGCATTACCTGCCCAGCCCCGCTGACTGTCAGCTCTCATTAGCAGTGTGTCCACATGCAGGAGCAATTAGCACCTCTCAGAGCCTTGCAGAAAAAAACAACTGCTTCACAGGGAAGGAAAAGTCCCAAGCCTTTGAGCAGTGGCAGAAATGGTTGCAGCCAGCAAGTTTCCAGGCCAGGCGCCCATTCGGGATGAAACAAAAGTCCCCGGGACATTGGCTGGCCATAGCCAAGCATGGGGCCAGGTCTGGCTGCCAGGTGGGGGGGCTGGAGGCAGCCTCGGGTGTGGGTTGTGGTCGGATGTCCAAGGACAGCTCTCCAGAGAGGTGCAGGGATCTAGCTGCTGTGCAGGAGCTGCAGCTGCATCCACCCTGGGGTTCAAGAGCTGGATCTGCCCCATGGAGGGTATCTGCTCTCCAGCCATGCTGAGTGACTGCAAGGTCAGAGGAGGGACCCCCTGAGATTCCATGCAGCCCGCGGAGCTCTGAGACCAGGGCTGTGGCTGCTCTTGTTGCGGTGACTGCTCCTTGCATCTCCCCTTGATGTTTCAGCCTGAACTAATTTGAGCTGGGAGCATATGGGGACATCTTTTGGGGCCATAGCTGCTTACATGGGCCATTTCCAGGCCTCCTGATTAGTGACAGAAGTCAGAGAGGCTTCAGGAAAATGGAAAATCCCAGAGAGAGGGTGATGCTCTCCTGAGATCGGGATCTGCAGGCAGCAGCTGGCCAGCTGCTCTTCAGATCTTCCCCCATGTCTCACGCCACCTCCCCATCAATAGAAACTCCTCTTCCAAGCCACTCTATGCCTGCCTCTGCCATTAGTGGGAGCATTTGCAGCCTGGTCAGCATTTTTGATATGTAATTTAATAGAATAAATATTTGGCTGAATGCGCTTCCTCTAAAACTATCTCCCTGGGACGGCCTTCAGTGCAGCAGAGCAGCTGGGCTGGGCTGGGATGCAGGAATTATTTGCCTAAGCACGTTTTCTATTCCTTGCAGCACTGGGAAAGGCAGGGAAGTGGAGCACACGCAGAGACACTCACCATGCTCCCTCCCTGCCGGAGTCGCATTTTTCCTAGCGGCAGATCCCCGCCGCCAACAAGGACCCCAGCCGCAACAAATCCGCATTAGCCGCTCCTGTTGTTCCTGCCCTGGTTGCAGGGCTGACTCTCAGCCCCGATCTCATCGCCCTGGGAGGGGTCAGACCCTCTTTCTGTGAGGCTTTGCATCCTCCCTTCGCAGCACTGGGAACGTGGGGGGCAGAGTCCTGGAACTTTCCACGGAGGATGTGGATTCCCCTTGCAGATTCAGAGGGATGAGCCCAGCACCTGAGCTGCTGCAAATCAGGACTCTTCCAGCCGTAGAAGGGCAAGCCCAAACTGGCTCCCACAACCTCCCAGGGACATCAGCACCCCAAGCAACCTGGGAGCCCCCCTCCACAGTGCTGCCACAGGCATGAACCAGCCCCACCACCACCAACCATGTCCCAAGGCTTAAGTTCACCAGGGGCAGGACTGTCCCTGCACACCTTGTCCAACCCTCTCAAAGACACCTTCAGCATGCTGAGTCCCTCCTCTTCCTCACGCCGTGTCACAGCGCCTGGATAAAGCTCCTGGAGGCAAACCAGGCAGCACGTCAGGGCTCTTCAGACATTCGTTCTGGGTCTGTTGACGAGCTGAGCAGAGTGATGCTGGTTTGGCTGCCAGAATTGTGGTGAGGGCTTGAGATGCAGGAGTAAAGTCCACGCTGCTAGGCAACATCCCACGGTCGAGCCTTCTCCAGCCACAGCTCCTCCGGGAGGGCAAATGCCATGGCCATGAGACCACAGACCTCGTGATGGGTCTCAGAGTGAGGGGTGAGGCTGGGCTGATGTCAGGCTCCAGTCCTCCCACTGGCTTTCCCCTGGGTTTCTTGGCATACTGCGCAGGAGCCGGGAAAGCAATTGAGTGGCCTGAGAAGGGCTGAGCGAGCTCACGGGGAACGGTGAGGCTGCAGGATTACTCATTTGGTCTTTCTGCCTATGAAGTGGTGTGGATCCAGCCAAATCACTCCAGAAACTGAACTGCAAAGTGAGGAATTGCAAAGTGTAGACTGCCCCTCAAGCCGTGTCCATGTCCCACCTACCAGCTCAGCTGTACAACAATGCTTTAAATCACAGCCCTGTTTTACTGCAATGCAGACTTGGCAGAAATCACAGCATCTGCCAGGTCTTCGAGATAGCAGAAGGATCCCTCCACTTTTAGCTTCCCTAAGAACTCTGGTAGCACCATGGTCCCCATCTGGAGCACAGATCACATAGATGTAAACCAAGACTAAGTTCTGATATTACTTAGAGTTCTTGAAGTCCCACCCTGGCTCACATGTTTTGCTGAATCCATGCCTGACTTCAGCATCTGGAGTTCTGATACAGCTTTGGGGTAGCTAACCCTGACTGAAAGCCTCCACAGTCCCATAGTGTGCTATACACAATTCTGACTGTCCATATTCACGCCCAGTGGGCAACAGCTCACTCTTTACATCAGATGAGCCTATTATTCGCAGCGTAAATCCTCCAGCCTCTCTGGAGTAGAGGTCCAGCACATTAGCACAAGCCCACCCTTTTCATCAAGAGCGCTCCACGTCCCTTTGTAACAGGGCCACATGTGCCGCAGCCCTGCCCTGACAGATACCAAGACCTTGACCCTTCCCAAGCTCAGTGGAGACTCTTTGGGCCTGAGACCCATCTGGGCTGGTAGCTAGAAGTGTGCCTATAAAGTCCATGGTCTCATGGCCAAGAGCATTCACATCTTCCTTTCACAGCCTATAGCAAGAGTGAGGAAGGAGAAGGCAGCTGGGAGGCTACTTTTTTGGAGCAAACTTTTGGAACTAACTGAGCCTTTACTACACATGACCAAACCCAGGATGGACTCCCACAGAGCTGGGACAGCAGGACCAGGGAGCTCCCAGCTCTGAAGATGCCTCCTTCACTGGTCCAGCATGGAGTCTAGTGGCTCAACTTGATTTCAGTCCTGTATCATTGCCAGCAGAAGAATGGCCTGTTCTGGGCAAGCTGCCATAACCAGGGGAGCCACACAGCCACACTCCAGAGTGCATATGTGCTGGGGAGATGCAAGGGGAGTTCGGATCCTCTGCCCTACTGTGAAGGTATTGCAGGCCCCAAAGATGCAATGATGGATGGTGCTGAGCAACGTGCATTCATCATTGCAAGTAGATTATGCCAAAGACCTGGCGGTACCTTCTGGGACAGCTGCCTGAGATCATCCCTTGGGTCTCCCAGGGTGCCATATGGGAGCAGATACCAGGACTGGGGTTTCCATGGGCACGTGGGGAAAGGAGGCCCAAATCCTGGAAACCAACAGGTTCTACTGACCCGTAGACAAGACACTTCTCTAATCTCATTGCCTCATTGTCCATAGCCACAGAAAGCATGGGACATCCAGAGGGCTTGGTATGGCTATATTTAACTCTTGGAGAGCTGGACCTATTTGTTCTGGGGCTATGAGTAAAGAAACATGCTCTGTGCTCCAAAAGTATTGCTGAAATAGCTCAGACAGCAGAGAGAGGGGCAGACCCCAATGTAGCAGGCTGGTGACAGGGGCAGCACTAGCACTGAAGTCTTCTGGATTCATGTTTAACCCTCACGCTTAAAGAAACATAGGGTGGCTTCTACTTCACAGAAGAAACTGGACAACCCAGCAGGCTTCAGACCAGCCTCTTTGTCCATGACTAGCTGCACAAGGGCTGAACAAGGTCACCTCACTATCCTCATGGAACAGAAACAGACTGCCTCTTTTCCAGGAGGGCAAACTGCTGCCACCAGAAAGGGTTCCACCAGGCAAGGAAGACACAAAAGGAGCTGAGGCTGCCTTTAGGAAGCAAAACCCTTCAGAAGGACAGATGCATTCCTCTCCCAGACATACGTCCAAAGACTTGTTAGCATAGGGCTGGGGTGTAACACCCAGCCTGCTCCAAGCTCTCCAGGAGAAGGTAAAGATGGCAGGGAGGATGGGCTTTATCCACTAAGAAAAGGAGAAGAGTTGCCCTCTGTGGAAAAAAAAGACACGAGTGTTTGGTTTGAAGATAACCAGCCATGTGGCATAATCTACAGGGATGTCCCTTTTCATTTGTTCCTTAGATAAGTGCTGGGAGTAACTGTCTTGTCCTTTTTGTCCTCAGTGTGCGGCCGGCCAGTTCGTCCTCTGCCTGGAATCATCAAGCGCATCATTGGCGGGCGAAATGCAGAGCCTGGCTTCTTCCCCTGGCAGGCCCTGATTGTGGTGGAGGACATGTCCCGGGTGCCCAATGACAAATGGTTTGGCAGCGGAGCCCTGCTCTCAGACTCCTGGGTGCTGACAGCTGCCCACGTGCTCCGCTCCCAACGTCGAGACAAGACTGTCATCCCCGTCTCCAAGGAGCATGTCACTGTCTACTTGGCCCTTCATGATGTGAGGAACAAGATGGAGGCCGTCAACCGGACAGTGGAGAGGATCATCCTCCACGAGGAGTTTGACATCCAGAACTACAACCACGACATCGCTCTGGTCAAGCTGAAGGACAAGGTGACCATGGGGAAATACGTCATGCCTGTCTGCCTGCCCCAGTTTGAGCATGAGCTGGAGGGGCCTCACCCCAACACGCTGGGGCTGGTGGCTGGTTGGGGTATCTCCAACCCCAACATCACAGTGGATGAGATCATCAGCTCGGGCATGAGGACGCTGTCTGACATCCTGCAGTACGTCAAACTGCCGGTGGTGCTACACGCAGAGTGCAAGACCAGCTATGAGTCACGGTCGGGGAACTACAGTGTGACTGAAAACATGTTCTGCGCTGGCTACTACGAAGGTGGGAAGGACACTTGTTTGGGAGATAGCGGGGGAGCCTTTGTCATCCAGGACCCGGGAACCCAGAGGTGGGTGGCCCAAGGGCTGGTCTCATGGGGTGGCCCGGAGGAGTGTGGCAGCAAGCAGGTGTACGGTGTGTACACCAAAGTCTCTAACTATGTGGACTGGGTGGAGAAGAAAACAGGCTCCTCAGAGAGGTGGACATTTCTGGACCCAGACTTGGAGAGATGAGTGACTAAGCAGTCGGCTGGCGCAGCCCCCCTTCTTGGCCTGCCGCAGCTCGTGTTCTTGTTGTTGCTGTTTAATGTGCTCCAGACTCTGGTCTTTCGCAAGCAGAAGCCACGATGCTCAGCACATGCCAAGCCTTTGCCAGCCCTCCACGTCATTTGTTTCGCTTGGTCCCACATCCCTTCGCTCGCGCTCTTAGAAAATGCTTGCTAGGGAGCTGGGGGAAGGGAGCAAAGGGCAGGATCTCAGCCAGTGTCCTCAGTTTGTGCTGCCCATCTCCAAACCTCACCCACACTCCCGAGGAGCCTCCCTTCACTCCAGGACAAAGGTACAGTTATGGAGGCACCATTTCCCTGCCACCAAAGCTTTGGGCCATGCACAGAGAATTACCCCCACCCCTGGGGCTCTCTGGCCAGATCTTCCTATCAGACGATGCAACTGCAGGAGCTACAGAAACAGTGCAGGAAACCCAGCTGGGCAGGCCTGGACCTCACAAGTTCCCCATGCTGTGGATCACCTTTTCAAGCAAGGAGTAGTGAGAGAGCCCTGGAGGTTTGCTATTATTTTTATTTGCAAACAAATGTCCCTGTCTGATGGCATCTCAGGTGATGTCCACCTGGCCCCAGGGATGTGAGGATGCATTCACTTAGCCCTAAACTTCACCCATGGCTGAAAAGCTAATGGCTGCCAAGACAGCACCAACCCAAATGGGCCACCCTTACCCCACCATGTGGGATGGGTGCCCCACGGAGGACACAAGGACTTGGAGCAGGGTTTGGACTCAGGGTCACACTCATCTCCAGCCACCAAAACTTCTCCGACCCTCTATCACTTCAAGCCCTCTCCACTCCTCCCCACAAACTAGTTCTTGGAATGGTTTCCAGCCATGGCAGAACTCCCAAGGAAAGTTTTCCAACACACGAGACAGCATCACATCTGCTGTACCTAAGCAATATTTCTTTTCAGCAGAATCATTTCAGATAAAATGCCCTTCCTCGAGGTTTCACGACTTCTTTAGGGGCCTGAGTAGTCCTCCATGGCAGTGCATTCCTTCTTATAAGAACTTAGTCCCTTTTAACTGCATATAAGGCCATTGATTTGGCTGATTTACAGGTTACTGATGGTGTTCAGTGTTTGTTCATGGCTCTTCTGGCCTATTGCAGGTGTCCAAGTCATTCTAGACTGACCTCAACTCACCTAACACACCTGAAGTATTCGTATCTCCCCAGCCTCCCTCCATGGCCCATGCAGACAAGTAAGCCCCACCAAGGAACAAGGTCAGGTGAGCTTACCATTCTTCAGCAGGGACATCATCTCCTTCACTTGCCAGCAAAGCCCTCGTATATCTCTAAGCAACATGCAAAAATTGCCTGCTGTCCTCTCTGCATGCCTGTAGCCTCCTTTGGGCCTGTCTTCCTCCTCCTCCTTTGGTTTTGCCATGCAAGGAAGGAGTCAACAGTGAATGAGCCACTCTGCCCTTTTGCTATCGTCCAAAAAGCCATTTGTAGAGCATATAGAGGAGCAGAAGGCCTAAGGAAGGTCAAACTTGCAGACATGCTAAGAACTGTACTCTTGCCTGTGTCATGTAACTGCAAAGTATTTTTATATATAAATATATATATTTCTTTTTTGATACTACATTCTGTAAAATATCCGTTATCATGTAAGGACGGTTCTGTGTAATCTTCCTCCTGAGAACAAAATAAAACTTTGATAGGTACTGAGTTTGTGCCCTGAGGCTTTCATTCCAAGAGGAACACGGTCAAGGCTGGTTGCTAGTCTCTGCCCTGTGCTCCCAGGGGGATTCTCACACTGTCCCTCACCCCAACGACTGGTCAGCCATGGCCCACGCAGCTTCATGGGCTGAGATAGACACTGACCAGCTATGAATAGGAATTGCAAAAAATGGCAACAGATGAGATCCTGCCCTTCAATTATTTATAGCCTTAGCACATCACTGAGAACAGGGGCAGTGGCAGGAGGAGAGTGCAGCAACCTGTATGCTGAGAACAGCAATTCAATCTGTGTTCAACTGACATGCGGAAAAAATAACAGGTATGTGACTTTTGCTTTAAAAGGGGTCAAAATCAGCCTAACCCTCCTAGCTGTTGGATTGAGAGCACATCCGCACAGCAGAGGCTCTGCAGCGAGCACAGATGGGAGCTGAGACAGGGACACAGCTCTGCCGGGCATCTCTTCTCTGCTTCACAGGCTGTGAAAATCCAGCCTTTGGAAAGAGCTTAAAATCATGGGCACTGTTTCCTACCATGTGCCTGCATCCAGGGCTGAGAGCTGGCTTATTGATCCCTATTTTCCTACGGCACAGAACTGAAATAACAGCGTCGGTCTCCTCTGGGTTGACAGCAGGGAGGATTGTGGCAGGTCTGGCTCGCTTGCTCGTGGGTCTGCTAACATGTCCAGAGACATCAGAGGGATGAAGGGGAAGAGAGAGAAAAAGCAAAATCAAGACACGATCCCCTGAGCATTAAACCATCATCTGTAGGATCTGAGCCTAGACAGCTCTGGGGCAAGTTAAAAAATGTTGCTGCCCTATAATAGATCAGTCATAAGTAGAGACTCTCCTCTGCCTCCCGTCGATAGCTCTGCTGAGAAATCGCTGCCACAACCCAGCCCTCGCCCCTGGCTCACCAAGTTGCCACGCTGCTGAGTGCCAACTCCTCGTGCCCCATGGCTGCTGCAGCTGGCTGCAGGGAGGGCTGGGAACGGGCAGCAGAGGAGAAAAGCGAGAGCAACAACAGGCTTTGCATTTGTTGGCACCTCACAACCTGCCAGAGTGGTGAGAGCTTCTCTCCAGGGAGACAGGGATGGAGACAGCAATTTATCAGTCTGGCTGTGGTGAAAGGCCAGCAAAATGTCCCTGGGTGAGGTTTGCCCGTTCCCAGCTCTGTGTGAGTGCCAGGCATGAGCTGAGAGTCAGTTGTGGCAGAGCCCATCCCCAGACAGACCAGAGGGGACAGCCGGGACCCGCCTGGGACCCATGGGGAGAGATCATCCTTCATCCCTCAGCCGCCTTCCCCAGGATGGGCTTGCTGTCTCCATGCCAGTTGGGGGACTGGCCACTGCTCACCGTCCCTGGGGGCTGAGCTGAGCCATGGAGGCTTGCTCTGGGCTCCAAAATTACCAAAAGCCATGAAAAGCAGCACTTTGAGGGCAGTTTGCTAAGAAACAAGTGGGAGATGGACACAACTGCACATTGGAGCGGGATATCCTGGAAGGAGCCCAAAACTGAGGCTGTGGCTGAGAAGCCCACATATGTATGGGTGTCTCTAAGTAATGGGGAGAGGATGAAGGGGCTGCATGATGGTGGGGCAGACGACCCCCAGACATGCACATGCAGTATGAGGAGACAGGCAGGCAAGCAGGAAGCATCAGGGAGGGGACCAGGGAAAAAGCAGCGTAGGGTGGGGGAGTGTGGGGTGTGTGCAGAGGGCATTGCAGGGGAGCAAGGGATGGCTCTGCCCTTGCAAAAGAGCAGAGATACCCAAGCATGAAAATAAGGACCCCCACAGGGATGTGGTCTCCAGCAGAGTTGGCTTCCCAGGCAGCTGGGTGGTTGGGGATGCTGCAGACAGACAGACATGATGACGGGGGCTGGGAAAACCTCAGCATGGAAAGGAGAAGGCTACAGGCAATGGCAGCAAGAAACTTGGCCATGTCTCTGCTTCATGACATAACGCCAGCAGGGAGAGGGCGGGCTGCTCCCATTGCTGGGGGGAGCCAGGCAGGAGGGAAGGGAATTGGTCCAGGCTGCAGGATCAGCCTCTTACCCAGCAGAGCCACTCAGCCCCAGCCAGCTGAGCAAGGCGAGACCTCCTCCAGAAAGGCAGGTCCATTCAGATATGAGACCCTTTGGGTCCCAAGTACTCCCTCAGCCACTGTTCCCCTGCCAAAAATGCTCAGAACATCACTGATACTCAATTCAAGGGACACAGGTCGTGCTGGCTTTCCTTCCTGGGGAAGTCCCTGCTGGTGGCACCACGCTGGTCCCCAGCCCTGCTGCCCTGGCACCACTGTCCTGCAGGCAGAGTTGGGGGCCAGGAGGGGTTTGAGGCTCCATGCTTTGCATCGCATGTGCACCTCCAAGTGCTCCAAGACTGGAAAATCACAGTGAGACACCAGGTCATTCACAGATCAGGACCATATCCACGTAGGATATGGTTTGGGGGGGGGACCACGCTACAGGGAAACTGCCAGGCACAGGCATAGGGGGAGGGCTTCCCCCATCTGGGGAGGTCTGGCCCGTCCCAGTGCTGACAGGTCACTGGTCCCAGTGCTTCCCAGTGCAATGCCAGAAATCTCGCAGCTCCATCTGCTGGCTCCACGGCCAGGGCTGCAGAGCAGGGAAGGTGCTGCAGAAGGAGGTTCAGTTGGTGGGATGAGTAAGGCAGAGTGCTTAAGAAACAAAATCCACATGGCCCCCAGATCACACAGGGTTTTTGTGTTATTTTGATTTTTTTAACCAATCTGCAGATCGCATGTATGAAAATATGGGAGAATCTTACACCAGCAAAAAAAGCAAACCCACAGGGAGCAGCGTAAAAGGCCCCGCAGGATGCAGCAGGGAGGACAGCACCTGGGAAGCTGCGTAGCCAGGGCCTGAGGCTGTGCAAGCTGCATGGGTGACACCGGATTTGGTTAATGCCTTTCCTTCAGCTCATCTTTCTTCCATAAATTCAGTTGTGAAATCTTTTCTACCATGTCCATCTTCAGCATCAAATCATTTGCAAAGTCAGGAGGCAACGAATGCACCTGCCTCAGCAGCTCTGCATGTCTGGCAGAGTCTGAGTTGGACACATTTGCCGAACAGCCCAAAAAACAATTTCAAAAACTTTTGCAAGCATTTACAGACCATTTTCACCTTTTTTTTCTGGGCCAAAGTCATGCCTACAGGACATGCTGTCCCCATGGGTAAGTCCTGCAGGAGCCCAGCAGCTCCCCCGCAGGAAGGGAAGAGGCTGAGGGGTGTCAGGCTGCAGGGGGACAACAGTTTTCCTTCCAACTTTATGATGCCACCAGGTCCCCTGAGCCCTGTGGGGCAAAGTAGCAGGAGGCAGGAGTCTGCATTCTCCCCTTTGCCCAGGCCCTATAGTAAGTGTGATTTCCCTGTGACAGAGCTAACAGGGCAGAGACTTGGGACTTGCTGTCGCAGCCTCCTTTGCTTGCCAACCTTGGGCACCCTTTGCCCCCACTGCAGGGCACCCAGCCAGCCAGGAAGGGTTTGTGCTTGCCAGGGTATTTTTCAGAGCCATAGTTACAGAGTCATACAATAGTTTGTGTTGAAGAGACCTTAAAGATCATCTAGTTCCAACTCCCTGCCATGGGCAGGGACACCCTCCACTAGACCACATTGCCCAAAGCCCCATCCAGCCTGGCCTTGAACACTGCCAGGGATGGGGCATCCACAACTTCTCTGGGCAACCTGTTCCAGTGCCTCACCACCCTCACAGCAAAGAATTTATTCCTAATATCTAATGTAAATCTACCCTCTTTCAGTTTAAAAACGTCCAGCTCTAGGTGCCCCTCAGCTGCTGTGGGTGCCCAGTTCCACCAAGGTCAAAGTCAGGAGAGCATCAGGATGTGTCTCCTTGGAAGCTGAGCCCAGCTGGTGGATAAAGGCAGCCCCCAGCTTTCCTCCGAGCTGCTTACATATACCTAGAAAAGGCTTTGGAGAAATAAAAAAGCACAAATGCATCCTTGGGCTGAGGAGAAAGGGCTTGTTTTATTCTTGCAAGTACACTCACACTTTGCACAGCTGACGTGGCTCAGCCCCAGCCAGCAGCTGAGTGCCATGCGCCGCTCGGAAAAACAACGGCAAAGCCTCGAGGGTTGGGATAAGGGCAGTTTACTGGGACGGCAAGGGAGAGGGAAACAATCAACAGCAATACTGATAACAGATATTCACAGTGGGTGATAACAGAGAGCGGTTTACCGATCCGATGACCGACCCGACTGGACGCTCAGCCTGGAGCAACGCCGAGCCCACCCCTGCCCGACTAGCCCCCTTTTATGGTGAGCATGACGTCACATGGCATGGAATAGCCCCCGGCCAGCTTGGCTCACCTGTCCTGGCTCCTTGTGACATTAACTCTATCCTTGCCAGAACCAGGACACCAGGGCAGTTGAGGGTCATCCTCACACAGAATATGTCCCATAAGAAACCATCAGACCCACCAGGATCACTGAGGCTGCGGGATGAGGTGCCTGCCTGAGGCACTACGATGTGTCTCTTCCCCCCACGAGCCAGGGAAGCTTCACCATGCCGTGAGCAAGGGCTGACCCCGGGCACTCAGTTTTCCAGGGGCTCAGTGAATGCCCCCCAGCCATCACCCTTGTTCTTCTTTGCAAGCCCCAGCTCCCACTACTTCATGGTGAAATAAAGCAGGACAAAGAGGAGCACTGCTAAACCAAAAAGCAAAGGGGTGCTGATGTAACAGCAGCGTTTCCAGGGGAAGTTGCTATTGGAGGACAAGGGATGGTGGGTTGGGATTGCCCAGGGCTTCATGCTCTGGCATTTCAGAGTGCTATGGGTCCCGGTCTCATTTGCATCTGTCGAGGTCTCCCTGGCATCCAACGCCGGGGCCAGCCTCTTGTTGCAAACACCGAGCTGGCAGCCCTCACAGCGGGCACTGTCATGTGGCCCCCCCCACCGGCATGTCCACCACAACTTCCAGGAGGTCGGAGGGCTGGATGGGCAGGTGGCAGAAGTACTGGAGGATCTTTAGCACCAGGTTGTGCAGAAGCATCTCCATGGTCTCCTGGCTGAATTTGGGCTCCTCCAGCTGGGGGTCAGGGCACCGCCTGCACGTCTGGCGGAAGGCTCGCATGCACACCATACCCTGGCCCTGGCACCAGCACGTGCAGAACAGCATATGCACTTTGGCCGAGGGCCACTCATGAAAGCACTGGGAGCACTGAAATCTGCCAGGGTACGGAGGAAAACAGCTCATCCCAGGGTCCCCATGCTGAGCCGGCAGCTTCCCGTGCAGTCAGTAGGGACTAGGGCAGCCAGGGCTGATGGACTAACTCCACTCCTGCAAGCTTTACACCAAACTGTTCTTCTAGCAGCATGATGCCAGTCTGGGGAGTTCAACACAGATGTGAGCTCAGGGCTGGCCCCAGCATTAAAGATTTTAGGAGCCAGGCTGCCTGATAGGACCACCCCGGTCTCCTTTCCTAGCCCATTTCAGCCCCACTGCCAGGAGCAGGGGTCCTTAGGGTGGGAAGCATCAGGCCCCAGGTCTATTTGGGGCTCCTGCCCCTCACCCATGCCAGTTCATTACAGCTCAGCAGAAAGCCAACTTCAAGCCCAGGGCCGGGGAAGTCCGAAAAAAAAGAAGAAAAATAGAAGGAAGGTGTGGGTGGAGGCTGCAGGGCAGGTGAGGAGATGTCTTGAGGAGTCAAAAGGTGTGTAGCCCACAGCTCTGTCTTGCACAATCTGTATGGGTGCTGGCAGCCAAGGTTGCCATTTGCTGCTACCTGGACTGGGTGTCTTGTCAATGCCCAGGGTCCTGCCCAGGGTGGAAATGGTTGGGATGGGGTGTCTCGTCTGCAATGCAGAGCCACAGCCTCTCTCTGCTCAGGGACCCCACAGCCTGGTGCAGATGCAGGGACTGCTGAGGCATCGCCCCATGTCCCAGCAGACAGCAGCTCTCCCTCTCCTCATCCTCTGGGTGCAAACCCAAAAGATTTGGCTCTAGTGTGGTATAACCACCCCTGCTTGCGGGAAGAGCTCTTTATATCTTTACACCAACATGGAGAAACTCTGGCCAAATACCAGCTGCCCTTTGGCCCTGTGGAGCTGCCACACTCCTCGCCCCTCCAATTATCATGATTTTTTTCCAGTTTGACAATGACCCACCAAGCTTGGAACAAAATGGGAAAAACCCATCCCAGCCTCACTCACCTCCAAACTGCCCCTTTCCTGTCGAAACAAAAGGTCTGCATCGCAGCCCATTGCCCCTGGTCCCGCTCTGACGGGGACCAAGTCCCCTACCTCCCACACGCACGGCGCTGCACAAACTCCTTCCAGCCAGGCTTGAGGTCATGCACCTGCAGGCTATCATCCTCCTGAAGCATCCATGGCTCTCTTAAGTCCATATCTGCAATCTTTGCTTCAAAAATGTCCTGCCAGGTCCCCATGGTCCCACCTGGAGCTTGTGGCTTCTGGGTGCTATGCAACTTTCTTTTCCCCAAACATTTCCTCTTTGCACAACATCTTTGTGCACAGAGATGGGAACCTTTGCTCCCACATGAGCAGCACCACCCCATGTTGATCCCTGTGTCAACAGGTGCTGCTGACACTGCACCAGGTCCTGGCTGGATGAAGTGTCCCTCAAAGCAAGGACAAGGTGGCTTCCCCAAGCCTCACACATGAACCCCCAACCCTGCTGAAGCTGTGCTCTCGTGATCCTGCTGACTTTAGGCAGAGAGTTTGGAAAAGCAACCCCCTGCCAGGCTGCCCCTGCCCATCACAGCAGCGAGGGCAAACCAGCAGAGATTGTGCCCAGAATAACAGAATAACAGAAGCAAAACCCACCGAAAATGCAGGACTCAGCACCTGATAAAACCCCAGGTAACCTTTATCTCTCTCGATAGCTGCCACCAAGCACGGGCTGTTTTTAACAACTTTCAGCCAACTCGAGCAGAAAAAGGCCTGACCTGAAACCGCACGGTGGAAAGTCGGGGAGGATGGCACCGCACGTAAAACCGAAAGAGGTGAGGTGTGCTCTGAGCTGAGAGCACCCAGCAAAGGTATAAACAGCGGGGTCGGGGCTGACTGCAGCCCTCTGCACCCCTGCTCACCCCTCTCCAGGCATGCACGTCCCCCAGGACATCCCATGGAGAGCAATGCAGGATGGGAAGCAGGTTAGATAAGATGTCAAATGATAACTGGTCTTGAGTTAGACAAAGAACGGCAGCTTGATAAAGCAAACTCAGATTGCCATGGAAATAAAACCATCTAGCACGAAGCTTTCAGAAGAGACCATCCGGCACACAGAGAGGTCACAAAACACCCCAAAATGCTCAGCCTTGGAGGAAATGTGCTGGGTGGCTGCCGAGGATGAAGCCACCATGGAAAGTTATGGCAGCTCCTCACGTTGAGTGCCCAGAACAGCACTCAGACTCCCAGAAGCAGGGACGGTTTAGCACAAAGACTGTAGGATATTAAAGCCTGCAGGAGGACAGACATCTGTTTAGAAAAATAACAGAAGTATCTAGGAATCAAGCTTAAAACACTTCACATTGGTTTCAAATGAAGTATGTCCCTGTGGCAGCTCTTCTGGCTTGACACCCCAAAAGCCCAGGTGCCCCAGGCAGCAGTGCCAGCAGCTGGCCCTGCCCTGGAGCCAGCTGGGGCAGCAGGACTGCTGAGGATGTAGGTGACACCATCTGTGGCCTCACAAGAGGGGCATGGTGGCTGCTGGCAGTAGGTGACAGCAGCTGTGAGATCTGAAGAGGCACCAGCATATCAGGTCCATCCTCCAGATCCCAAAAGGGAGGCAGGCGACATAGGTAAGTTCCAGCAACCACAGGCTGGCAGGGAGCCTCTGATCTTTGCTGCTGGAAGGGAAAAGCCAGCGAGTCATTTGTACCAAGAGCCCTCCAGCACCTTCACAACATGCGCTGCCCCTCCTGCAAGAGTGGAGGGAGGTGACGAGGTCCCGGGTCCATCTTCAGCTTCAAGGTTCTTTCCTGCTTTGAGGTCTTTCCACCCTTAATTAAACCTTGGTGTTACGATCTGGAGCAGGACTAGAAGGAAGGAAAGGAGGCTTCCTGGAAGCAGAGGAGCCAAGCCAAGGTCTTCAGGATCCTTATGGAGAGCTAGCAAAGCCCTAACCTGTAGATAGGACCTGAGCCACCCCCTTCCCAAGAGCCCTGCCATGGGGACATGGGGTCCTGCTTGGGCTGGGGTAGCACCCTACAAACAGGATGGTGAAGGAAGGGTCATTCCATCAGCATTTCCAATGCTCGCAGGTGGGGACCGGGGAACACCCCTGGCTCAGGTCTCGTGCATGGGAAGGAAGAGAGGGAGCAGCAGATCTCTCTGGCCCTGCTCCTACTCCCTCCCCAGAGCACGGGGCCCCCATTTCTATAGGTTCACTATAAAAGACCCCTTCATGCACCCCACCACAGAGGAGTCTCCAGGACAGCAAATCTCCTAGTGCAGAAAGCTGGCACCATGCCGTGCCTGGCACCGCTGTGCCACAGCATGGTGTGGGGACCCATCAGCAGCAGGGTGACCAGGATGGGACATCTGCCCCTTGGACCTCTCTGTGTTAGGGGCTGAGATTTACCCAGGGGTGGTTGAATGCAGGAAAAACCTAAAAGTTTTGACATCTCCCCTTTACTTCAAGGGCAGCTGCACCTGTGTTAAACACCTTGAGCTGTGTTGAGGAGGAGGAGCCCCCTGGGAGGCAGCCCTCTCTCCTGGCACTCTCATATTCACCCAAACAAACCAATCGCTTCATCTGGGGGATCTGTGGTTTCACCCCAGCCCTTCCTCCCCAAGGCTGCTGCCGCAGGGCAGAGGGATGCTCCTCACCAAGGCAGACACTGCTCCCCATGCTGCCCACCCCGGGGGCAAAATACTGCCCCTCAGGCACACGGCTCAACAGGGGTCCAGTGGTACCCCGGCACGGAGACCCGTCTGTGATGGAAACCAGCTCCTCCTTTACGTCATGGCAACACAACTCAAATCGCGACTCACGATGCACCGAGTCCTCGCAGTCATCTCTGAGAAGGAGCCCGGTGCTGGTCCCTCTATTAAAGCCTTTGACTTGCTTTTACTAAAGGGACTTTCCCAGAACCACCCACGGAGCCGAAACTGCTTTGACGTCCTGTTCCACTTCACACACACCTCCCGGCGCTGCCCAAGCACCTTGCCACTTACCGGCACCTGCCTGGAAACAAAAGCTGCTCCTACAGGTCCGCTCGCAGCCCGGTGAGGGACTGGGGACAAGCCCTCTCCCAGCCCCAGCACGACCCCGCTGTGCTGGAGGGTACTTGCCGGGGATGGATGCTGCCAATCCTCTCCATCCCGGTTTGCTGGTCATGGCTCCTCCACAGGATGCGTGAAGAAGACAAGCACAAGGCACAGCCCAGGCGGTAATTTCCCTGCCACTTTCGCACAGCCTGAAATTATTTTTTACTTCAGTTCCCACCCCCGGGTGAGCCACCCAGGCAAGAGCAGGAAGGTTTCCCAAGGCTCCTTATCCTCCTCTCCGTCTCTCGCTGTGTGTCAGCCTCCCCATCCCCTACCCCTCCAGCTCAGGGACAAAGTGCCCACGCTGTCCTGCTTGGCACACACAGGTCCCATCCCTGCTGGGACATCCATCCCTTCCCTTTGGGGTCACCCCATACCCAGGTGGCTCCATCCTGCCAACAGTCCCAAGACGGGCAGAAAGGGACATTCAGTCCTGGTCCCCAGGCAGGACCAAGGAGCAGGACATCCCTTCAGCAGTGGGGATGCTGTGTCTGCAGGCATGGTAAGGCTTGCGAGACAGACGGATTACCATCTGAGTAACAGAGCATAACCCTAAACACTCCTCTGTCTTTCACTGCTCACTTCACTGCAGGGCTTTTTTCCGGTTCTGAAGTCTTCCCTCATCTTTTTCTGCACTAAACACGCCCAATTCTTTTCCATCAGTCATTCTTTCAGGGCATTTTTGCTCTTTTCTTCAGGTCATCAGGGTGAATTTGATTTCTAACCCTCCTCCCAGACAGCCCCTACACCCCCCCTCAACAGCATATTGCCTTCATTTGAGCCATGCTTCTCCAGAAAAACCCTGCTTCATGTGTCTGCTGTCACAAGCTATTGATAAGTGCTGATGGGATATAGCTTCTTGGGTAGCCATTCACCCACAGTGACAGAATTTCCCATTTCCCTAATTTGCTTATGAGAATATCACGTAAGGCAGCAGGAAGATAGCATCACTCCCGCTTTCCTTGCGGTACCCAGCATGTCGCCCTAATGAAAAGAAAATGAGGTTGGTTTGACACAACAGTGTTCCTGCTAAATCTGTGTTCTCAGCCCCAGCGCTGTCCTCTCGGTGTTTACCGCTTGGTGGCCTTACTAATTTGTTCCAGCGGTTTTCTGGGTACGGAGGCAGGCTGACTCATCTAGAGTTTCCTGGATCCTCTTTTTTCCCCTTCCTTGAAGCAGACAGTGAATTGGGCATCCGTATCCTCCTGGGACACGGCTCCACACCAGCTTTCTGCGCCCCTGCCCCCTCTGACCTTGCCGCTGTTGACGGTGAACGCTTGTCACCCTATCACGGTGAAACCCACCACCTCTAGGGACAGGCAATGGCTGTAGAATCCCTTTCAAGCTGGACTGTCTTCATAGTCAAGCCCTTGGAGTAGAGGGGTCCACCTGTCCCAGGGTGGATTTGAGGCAAAGGGGATGCTCTGGAAATGGGGATATGCCTAAGCTGGACTGTAGAGAGGGGACGTTGCCCCACCATCCCCTGGACTTCTGGGGTGAAGAAGGATGCTGAGCAATGGAGAGATATTGAAGGGAGAAGGTGGCTGTGAAGATGCAAGCAGGTACCACCGCAAATGGGTTTGCGCTCCCTGTTCATCTAGCGGGTCTTGTGATGGTCCCTGCAGGCGTAAGGAGAGAGCTCAGCCCCCTCCAATAAGGCTCTGCCCCTGTGCCATGGGTGATGGGTTTGATCTTGGGGGTGGTGGAGTGGGCAAGACCAGGGGTCCTGCCTGGCTGGGGGGCACAGGCTGCCTCGCTTGCCCTCCAAGACCCACATGCCGGGATCTGGCCTGCCGGCATCCTCCTTGAGCAGCACATCCTGCCAAAGGGAAGAAGAGAGAGAAGGAGAAACCTTGGAGCCAACTAAAAGCAAAACTAGAGAAAGCAAAATGAGAGCGGTGGGAGGAAACACAGATGTTCTGCAAGCCTACAACAGGCTTGGCAATAGGCAGGGTGAAGCTCTTGGTGGGATGTGACAGAGGAGATGCTGTGGGCCTGAACCCCTCAGGACACATCAGGGCTGTACAAGTTGGCCATGGTTAGAGGTCCAAGCAACCTGCCCAGAAAACCACCTCTCCCATGGTGCCCACCAGCTCACCCTAGCCCGTCCTCTCAAGGACCAACAGCTGCTTTCCCAAGACAAGGCCATGGCAATGCTCCCAGACCATAGTGTCCAACAGACCAGTCCCACCCCAGGATCATCCCATTAACCCAGGGGACAAATAACTCACACACCCCACTGCAGCACCTCCAGCCCAACCTCTCCAAAACCAAAATACAGCTCTGAAACCTCCCAGTGACCAGGATGGTCCTCACTTGTAATTGACCTTACTGCCACACAACCTGACTGCCCCTTCTCCCCTCGGCATCCACAAAGTCCCATTTTGCAGGAATGGTGCTTTGCTGCTCTGTGGTACAGCTCTCCTCAAAGATGCTGCTGCAAGCAGCAGGAGAAGACTTCCTCTCCATCCTCATCTGCCTGCCCAGTTTTCTCAACACCTGTTTTTTGGGCTCAGGTTTCTTTAAGGGATGCTTGCTCACATGTTGTTCCCAATCACCTTTAATTAAGGCTGGGATATATAAGGAGCCAGGCTGGTTCTCAAGCATTTGTGTAGGGTGTTTTGCTTGCTTAGGTATGGCTTAGGCATGCTGAAGTCACACATCCAGCTTCCTGCAGATGCAGACAGGTATGAGCTCTCTGAGGTGTTCCAGCAGGCTCTGGCCGTTCCCCATCAGCAAGACCCTGGGATGGGACTGGGGCTAAGCTCTGCTCTCTGGAGGTCCCAGCTGGTGTGCGGTTACAGAGAGCTGACAAAGCATTTTGGCACCGATGCTGGTGACAGCCACTCCTCAGGGGACCACTGGGTGTCCGCGGTCGGAAGCGGTTGCTCTAACTGCCAGACCAAAGTGTGCAGGAAATGCAGCAGCTTTGGTGCCTGCAGCCGCCCCCTCAGCTGCACCCAGGTCTTGGACTGGGAGGAGCTGTGGCACATGGATGGGGTGGCTGGGGCTGGACCAAGGGTCCAGGGGGGCTGTGTGTCTGCAGGGATGTGCGTGTCCTCACAGGTAAGGGGTGTGCGTATGTATTTGGCACACAGTAGCTGTGTAAATCTGGGGGTGCGCACATAGATTTGCATGGGGAGCTGTGTCCATGTGCTCATGAGCATTTGTGTGTTCTTGCACAAAAGGGTGCATGGCCAGGCTGGGGATGCTTGCTCTGGGGTGATACAGGGGAAAAGAAATTTGAATCCCCCCAGTTTGACTGTTGTGCACTTGTGAGCACAAAGCATGGGGGAAGAGACTGGCAGGAGCATCCTCTATCATTCACAGCTGTGACGCTGGTAGGAATGAGGTGGGCAGACCCAAACCTATGCCCTGTCCCCTCTGGCCTTTCAGGAGTCATTCCCAGTGATAGCACATCCTGAGAGCAAGGAAAAGTCAGGTCCAGGTACTATCTAATTTTATAGAGCCTTGTTCTTCTCCTGCTTGTGCTCCTGTAAGCCTCAATTTTCCCCAAAATGGGGTGCTGAGGACCAGACCAGGGCCCTGCTCTTGCTCTGTCAGTAGCCAGTGGCTCTGCAGCACAGGGGTTAGTTCCAGCCACTGTGATTGTTGCAGGGAGCGAGGTCAAAAATCAAAGCCATGTGGTAGGGTCTGCCTAACTGCTCTGCAGCAAACCTCCGCTCTGCAGCAAACCTCCTCTCCACAGCCTAAACCAAAGAACCCAGCCCCAACCGCACCCACACCCCTCCAGAGGCAGCAAAGCAGCTGCGGCAGATAGGCTATACCCCCAAAACTGTATCCAGCCCATCGCAGCCCAGCCTCTTCTTAGTGCAGGCAGGGAAAGCGAAAAGAAGTCTTGAGGGAGTTGGGTCGGCATCCCCCCTGCCCTAAAAACCTTAGCATCGTTGGTGGAAATGAGTTTGCTTAGGTCCCTGCTTAATGTGAGTGGAGAAAAGGGGCATAAACCTGCCAGCTGGTATGGGTGCAGTGGTGGGCAAAAGCAGGAGGGCTGTGACACAGAGTGAGGGGCAGGGGAAGGAGGGATGTGGGATGGTGGAGCTGGGAAAGATGGAACTGGGAACAGTTCCTCCAGATTCTATGCAGTGACTCCAGGAAGACTGAACTATTATCACCATGCTGGTGACAGAAAGTATAAACTGTGGGTGGCTGCTCTCCTGGCCTGCATGGAAAGACAAGAGTAGCTCCTGCACACGAATGTGCTCAGCTCTCCATCCCCGAGCAGGATGTTGGGGCCGGGGGGCTGACACCCATCTCAGGGCACTGCTTGGTTTGGGGATGCTCAGCTGGGGGCTTGAAACCTGCATCCTGCCCGGAGCTTATCCCAGTCCTGTTTCTGCTCTGGCCTGTGCCACGGCCAGCACAGGGGAGTGTAGCTCAGATCTCTGCCAGTGCTGGGCACCCTGTCCTCCAAACAGGGATGGGAGATGGTGCCTGGCAGCCTGGAGCATCCCCAGGCTCCAGCCTTGCTTCCTGCAAGGGGCAGGATTGCAGCCAGGCTGCTGAGGGGCCAGAGGGGCACAGGTGCTGATGTGCTCCCTCATCCCGAATGGCAGTGTGCAATGCTTTTGCTATGCCTCTGACCCCACTGGATGGTTTGGGAGCCTCTGGCTGGCTGCAGACCACCATCCCCCGAGAGGGGAAGGGACCCAGCCCCAACCGCTCCTGGAGGAGCCATAGCTGCAGTCAGGGGGTGCAGGAGGGGCTGAAGACCCAGCACCTCTGCTGCCTGAAAGGCAGGATGGAAAATATGAAACAGAGCCCACCCTCTCGCCAATGTCATGTCTGACAGGAAAGCCAAAAGCAAAACTGCTGACTGAGCTCCTGTTTCTCCCCTGCTGCAGCTGCCTCCTGTCTCGGCTTTCTGGGCAAGCTGAGCCTGGCTGGCCACAGCAGGTCTCTGCTGGGGTCGCACGGTGCTGTGCTGGGGCAAGGAGCGGGGCTGCTGCTTGCAAACAGTACCACCAGGCTGAGTCACATATTGGTGTGAGTGGATGTTGTGGGACCAGGTGGGGCCACCACATCCACCTTTCTGCCCTGAGGAAGGATGAAAGCCACCCAGATGGATGTTCATCCTACCTGGTCTGCTCTGGAGGTTTCTCAGGGACTTTCCAGCACCTGCAGAGGACAAACTGCCGTGCCTGGCATGCCTCACCCCTTCCCCCAGCGCCCAGGCTGGCTCCCACAAGGCTGCGGTGGTTTTACTGGGGATAAGGGGAAAAAGAAACCTGCTGACGGTGCGGCTGAAGTGTGAGATGCAAGTGACTCTTCTCTGTTTCCGCTGGGTTTCATGGTCTCCCAGCAGGTGTCTGCTGCCTCCAAAGCCACTCCTTACCGGGGTTTCTCCCCTCTCAAGCAGTTGTCACTTCTTTCTGTTCTGGTTTCTGGCAGGCAGCACAGCATCACTTTCAGGAGAGAAAATGGAAGTTTGGAGACTGAAAGCTGCACTGAGCACCATGCAGTGAGCTTTGCCCTGGCTGATGGCAGCCAGGCCCCCGGCGTGGCAGGGATGCTCATCCTCAGCTGGGCAAGTGCCCCGAGACCAGCCTGGTAAGGGGGGGGGATTTGGTTTGCAGCTGCATCCGGGGGCCAGCCCAGATAGGGGCAAGAGGAAAAACAGTGGCTTCTTCTCTATTAAGAGCAGTTTTGTGGAAGAGTGGCTTTTTCTTTTTTAAAAAAGTGCGCCGAGAACCCACGACAGACCCTGCTGCCGCCCGGCTCTCGCCTGCGTGCTGCCAAGAGCCGTTATTTGCCTGCCCACGCACTTGCCATCACGAGTCAACAAACTCCCCGGACGTGAAACCCTTTATTCACCCCTCAGGGCCAGATCCATCTCCCACCTCTGGAGGGAGGGACATGGGGGGAGGGTAGATTTTTCCTCTTGCAGAGGAGGAAAGTGCCTGGAGAGAGGAGGAAAACTATCCACCTGTTTCACAGGTGTTTCTTTAAATAGTGGTACACAACACAGTCTGTGCCCCAGATGAGGAGAAGCCCTCACCCCGGGGTCCTGCGAGCAGTGTCTCCCAGGATCTGCTCCGGCTCTGGCCTCCACCGTTTCCTCCTGCAGTCGTACTTTGCTGGCTGAGTCAGACCCCGGTGTGGGAAGCAGCGTGGCCACTCCAGAGAGCCCCGGGTGGAGGTGGAAAACCGAGGCATGATGTAAATCACCTTTGGCACAGACCTGTCAGCATCACTGCTCTGCCCCAGCCCATCCTTCCTGCCCTGAGCAAAGAGGCGGCACAGGGAGCCCAGCAGGGACCTTCCCCATGCTGTGGTACCCACCCCACAGCCATGATCCCACCGTGGCCAGGACTGTGCAATATCAACTCCAGCAGCGGCACCTCTGTCACTCTGGTCCTTGCATGCTGGATTTTTCCCAACTGCAAACCACAGTGGGAGCGAGGGGCTGGGGCAGCCTGTCCCTGCCCGCAACCCCCCAGCAATGAGGGACCCCAGCCCTCAGCAGGGCTGTGACTGCAGCTCCCAAGTCCTGTCGTCCTGGTGTTTCTTCCCCCACTTTGGTGTGATGGGTTTCTCCTCTGGGAAGACAATGGTGGCATACTCAGTCTGGTCAACCGGCCAGGTCTCTGGTGGCACCTGGGTGCACTGGTTGCACTGAAACTCCAGCACGCCGTAGTCCACGGTAGACACAGACACCACAGGGGGCTTATCCTCCTTCTGCAAGGAAACCCCATTGGGGCAATTCATCATCCGGAGGTACCCGCCATCCCCAGCACAAGCCCCCTTTCAACAGCAAGTGATGAAACCAGCTCTGAAGCATCCCAGGAGGGCAAGAGTGATACAAAGCAGAAAGACACACAGACCTGGGATAGCATTTACCCAGAGAAACCAGACAATGAGCCTTGGGGTCACCTCTGAGTCTCAGCTCTCTGCCTGTGCAGACAAGTGGCCATGCCTGGCCATTGAAGGCAGGGTCATGCTAGGAGCCCTTTTCCCACCTCTCCACTGGGCTCTGAGCTGGCGTGGGGTACACAAGGAGAGCCGAGGGCTGAGTTTGCTCAGCCTGGAGAGGGGAGAGCAAGAGAGGACCTACTTGCTGCCTTCTGCTACCTAATGGGGTTGGAGAGAAGATGGAGCCAGATTCCTCCCAGCAGTACATGGCAAAAGGAAAATAGGAAACAGGGTCTGGCTGCAGCAAGAGAAATTTTAGCTTAATGTATGGGGAGGGGGGACGACATCTCCCATTTTCTACAGCAACACAATCCACTGTCAAAACCAGCTCTGCTTTGAGTGAGGGTTGGACTATACTATCTCAGGCAGTTTTTTGATTGTGATGGGGCTGTGCTGCAGGTGCAAAAAAGCAGTTGTAGCTGTGCAGAAAAGATCGAGCAGCATCAGAGAAGAAAGGAGAAGCGAGAAGCCTGTGAAGGGCTGATTGATAAAGGGAGGCCCTGCACCCTCCGCACCCCAGCAATGCACAGCAAGGCGTCAGAGATGGAACTCACCACTGGTGCATTTTCACTCGGTGGTTTCTGCACATCTGCAAAGTAACACATTTGGTTAGAAGATGCTTGTGTGCCAAGGCAGCGTGAGCAGCTGGGGCTGACCCAGCCTCCACATCCTAGGAGAGCGCTGGACACTACAACCACTGTACCACGCATCCTCCTCCTCCACTCAGGGTCTAACACCCTGAGCGTTACAAGGACAAGTGAGATACCAGCCCACAGTCTAGGGTTTAACTGGGATTAGTGGGGTGCAATTCCTGATGAGTCCCCTCTGGGAAAGCCCCCGTGGCATGGCCAAGGCAACACCCAGTGCTGTGGTGAGGAGGTGACAAGATGTTACGAAGATGCCCAGGCAAGGTGCGTGGGAAGAACTCGCGTGCAGCATTAAGACACCATGCTAAAGAGCAGTTCAGAGCCACAGCGTGTGGCCTGAGGGCTCTATGAAGGGCGAGCATGGCCCAAAGCACCCTTCTCCCCTAGGCACGGCGATACCTGACCCATGGAAACATGCCACAGCTGAGTTTAGCATGTTGACCTGCCCATGTACCCCAGGGAGCTGCAGGCACCTGGCTGCCCCTGGATTCAAGCTGGGTTTGTTGGATAAGCATCACCCCGTCGGATCCCCTGGCAGACCCCAGCCCCTTGGCACAGCACAGCCCCCATGGGGGATCATACCTCCTCTCCTGTATGTGACAGTGAGGTAGCCAAAAATCAGCAGTACAACTGCCCCAGCCAGCAGCAGGATGCCCAGGAGCACGACCTTGATGTGGTCCAGGGAATTGCCTTCCTCCATCTCGGGCTCATCAGTGGTGTTTGTCTTCTCAGGAGCTGCTGTAATAGCCATCCAAAAAAGGGGGAACAAAACAGCAGGTCAGGAGTGTAAAATGGGCTCTAAAGTCCCTGGAAAAGTCAACAAGGGAACACAGGGACTGTCCCCAGAAAGGGCTCAGTGCCAGGCATGCTGCCACAGCCCCACCAGCCCTCCAGGGACCCTGAATCTGGGCTGACATGGGGGATGTTTTTGGCATGTCCCATTCCTTCCCATTGCAGGTGGTGAGGATGATCCCACACCGCTGAGAGCTGGGGTGCAGGGCGTCAGGGCCCATGACCAGCAGAGCCCCAGGGAGGACACAGCTTCCCCAAGCCTCCCATCTGCTTCTGCATCCTGGGGCCAGCGGAGCTGCAGCTCATGTTGGGAGGCAATGTTGTGAAAGACAGTAACTTTTGCAGTGTTTTTCCTTATAAAAGGTCATCTTCAGTCCCCCAAAGCTTCCATGCTGCCAAGCAAGTGCATGGCATATCTTCCTGCAAGAGCTCAGTTTCCCACACCATGGGGCTACAAGACCCTCCAGGGCATGGTTTTGCAAGAACAGTATCTACACCAACACCGGCTGTTTGAGGGGTCTGAGCCCTAGTCGTCACCCCAAACACAAGCCCTGTCCCCAAATAAAGGAGCCGTTCAGGAGCGCAGGCAGCTCCCTACACTGGTCTCCTGCCTCTATCCACCGGTAAGGACTTGCTCCTCCCCACAGCCTCACTGGGGACACAGACCCAGCAGGATGGAGACCTCCTGCCTCAGTGCAGATGGGGGAGGACAGCCTGTGTCCCTGGGCATCAACCAGGCATACAAAGGAAAGGGAAAAGGGCAGAGCTGTGCTCTCCTGACCCGCACCAGGGCCTCCCCCAGCAGGGTACCGCCTGCCTTGTGCCCTGAGGCTGCAGTGTGCCTGGGGGCCATCGCACCATGGGACAGCACTGATGACCTGTCCCCATCAGCTCAGCTCCCAGGCTGACCTGTGACAACTAAGTGGGACCGGCTGCTCTCCATCACTTTATCAGGTTCAAAGAAGGTGATCAGCCCACAGTAGTAGGAGCCTGAGTCATTCTGGTGAAGGTTCAGGATCTCCATCTTGAAGGCAGGAGTGTGGTTGGTGACCAAGTACTTGTCCATCTTTGTCTGGTAGCTGTTTGGGCTGATCTCAGCAATTTTTTGGGCTTGGTTGTTGTTGGTGTCTTTGTACCAATTGAGGCTGTACTCCAAGCCGGACTCGCTCTCCATGGAGATGTTGCAGAAGAAGGTGGCTGAACCACCTGCAGGGAGAGTTAACATGGCTGGGAAGAAGGTCACTGTTTGGGAGAGAGGAAACAAAGAACAAACATGGTTACAGTGGGCACAGGTCTCAGAAACAGCCAGACCCCCTATGCAGGAACCAGGGATGCAAAGAGGGTGAGAGCCCACTGTTGCCCAATCGTCCCACCCCATGAAGAGGTGATGGGCTCCTATGTCCCAAACCCAGAGGCTTCAAGCATTCCTCAGCTGTTTCACCCTCAGCTCCTGAAGGCCCCTACAGGGATTTACAAAAACCTGTCGGTGAGTGCTTGCGAGCCCAGCCCCAAGCCATCGCCAGCATCTGGCTCACCTGCAACCAGGTTCTGGGGTTTGTCAGCAACACAAGCAGCCTGATGCTTGGCCAGTCCACAGCATCCCCCTGGATCATGGGGAGGTACATCAGCCCATGTCTCTCCCCTTCTGAATGTGTGCCTGCGAGCCAGAGGGGAATCCTCAGGGGTAGTAACTGAACAATGAAGTGGTTTTGGCGGATCAAATTGTGCTCCGGACTATCTAAAATTAACCCAGAACACCTGTACCGGGGAAAACAGATTTTGGAGGCTATATTATTTTTAATTCTATGCTGTATTTTAATGGCTCCTTCCTCCATCTGATGTTGCTTCTGAATAGTGAGCAGAGGGACCGAGTCCTGGGCCAGGACAGCACCCCGCAGTGTAGCCCATCGCGTGCCCGCCTGCCTGCCAGGGTGCTCCAGCTCTGCCCACTGCTCCATGCTGGGAGCACAGAGCGGGCAGGGGCTGCCCAGGGCATTGTATCTGCCATCTCCAGCCTGAGACCATCTGACAGGGCAGAGTGACCCGGAGCTTACCATGCCACCCCTTTCCAGCTGCCTGTCCCCTCCTCACGCATACAAGGGCAGCCAGGCGCCCACCCTGGGAGGTCCTGGACAGGCTTGCCAGGCTGCTCCCAGCACAAAGGGCAGTCAGCCACAGGCACAGCCTCCTCAGCCCTTAGCACCAGCCATGCTGCTTCACCACATTTCCCTGCCCGTGACCCCAGCGTGTTCATCCCCCCCGGCAAGGGTGGATGTGCTGTGAACAAGGGCCAGGCTCACAACATCCTGGCTCAGCCAGCCCCATCCAGCAGGACGAGGCAGCTGCTGCATTAATTTTTGTTTGGAGCAACAAAAAGCAGGAAGAAGCATTTTTCACATGGATTATCTGACCAAGTGATTCAAACCACCAATGCTTTGAAAAGTCTCTGCTGTTAAGAAATTGATCTTCCCTTTTCTGAAATTGCCACCGATAGCAGCCCCAGGGCTTGCAGGCAGTTAGAAAGTCCGTCCTGTCCCTCCAGCACTGGCCTGAGGCTGTAGGGACCATGACCTCAGCATCACCAACCAGAAAAGGAACAGGGGCAATACAGGATTAGGTGGAAAACTGGGCTCAGAAATGAGGAACGAGGCCGAACAGGAGGACGGAGGGAGGGAAGTGCCCCAACTCCCGCGGGCAGCACTGGCTGCGGCAGTGCCCACACCAAGAAATGTAATTTTTGCAGTGTTATGGGTTTCTTGTATTTAACAGGAAATATTTGGCAGGCTCAGGGCTTTGTTCCTACCCAGTGCTGCTGCCAGCAATGAATGAAGTGCTCGGAGGACTTCTGAAAGCAGAGGTTGGGTTTACATGTTTCCCTGCATCTTCCCAGCACGAGAGGTAACATCTGCTCCAAGGGATGCCCAGCCCTGTGCCCACCCTTGGGGCAGAAAACACCCAAAGCCACCAAAGAAAGAGCTGGGCTGTGAGGAAGGGGGGACACGGCTTCATCAGGACTCTGGCTGGCTCTGCCCGGACTCACTCCTTCCCTTCCACCTCCCCTTCTCCCCCCAGATTTCACCCTGAGCAAAATCGCACACAGGACCCTGGCTCCCTCAGGGTCAAGCCCAAACCAGGAGGCGCAGCCCGAAGCTGTGAGAACCAGAGCAGAAAACCCCAGACCGCACATGGCGCTGGCAAACCCAGAGGCTCCACAACAAACCCCGACCGCGGACAGTGTGTCCACAAAGTGGGCTGGGGACCTGTCCCTTTCTCCATCCTTTAACACCGTTTCTACCCCGAGCATCCCCACTTCCCTTGCTCCAGCGGCCCGTACCCAAAAGCTTTGGGTTTTTTGCCTTCTTGATGCCAGAGCTATTTTTAACTAAGGGTTCACAGCCCTTAGACTTTTTCCACTGCGAACGACACAGGCCGTGCCAGCAAGCACGCCACGTTCTGGTACCTACCCTGACGGCAGCTGGCCAGCATGGAGCCGCAGCAGAGCAGGATGGCACAGAGGCTGGTCAGGGCCCTCTCCAAGCTGCTCCACATCGTCTTCAAGGCACCTGGGGCCATGGTGAGGCAGTCAGTACCCTGCCCGGGCAGGCGTGCTGTGCCGTGCCGTGCTGTGCCGTGCCGTGCCGTGCCACCCCCGTCTCTCTCCGTGCTTCCTTCCCCGCAGTGGCAGCTTGCTCTCTCGCTTGCGCGGGAAGAAATGAAATGTGCCCATCTCTACCCTAGAGGGAAACCCGGGCTGCCTCCCGCCCCCAGCTTCCTCCTCGCAGAGGCAGGGATCAGCTGAGCCTGGCCTGGCCCCTTCCCCTCCCCGCGCGCTCCCGGCACGCTCCCACGCAGGCACCCAACCGCCGAGCAGCAGGGACAGGCACGGCTACACCTGCACCCTTTTGGGGGAAAGCTCCCAGGGATGGAGCGGGCAGGGATCACAGGAGACATGTCCTCGGCTCCAAGCCTGGCCCAGGAGTAAAAGGGCTGTCTCAGGCTCCTGAGCACCCATGGGTGCTTCTGCTGAGTGTCCATGGCAGCACGGCACCCGGCAGCTGGGCAGGGTATGAGCAGCCATGGGGCACCCTGAGTGCCTGTTGGCAGGCTGCTCCCATCAGGAAGGGATGGGAGAGGAGGGAGGAAGAGAAGGAGGAGATGGAGAAGGAGAAGTAGAAGGGGAAGGAGAAAGAAGGAGGAGATGGAGAAGGAGAATGAAGAGATGGAGATGGACAAGGAGAAGGAGAAGGAAGAGATGGAGAAGGAGAAAGAGAAGGAAGAGATGGGGAAGGAGGAGAAGGAGAAGGAAGGAAAAGGAGGAGATGGGACAAGGAGAAGTTTTGGCTCCTTAGATGTGTTTACCCACAGACAAATTTGCAGAGAACAGGGGCAGGTGCCCAGGGCCAGGGTGTTATTATTGGGGTGACCTTTGCAGCAGACTAATTTCTCTGCCAGCTGTGTTCCCCACTTGCCTCACTGACTAATACTTGCATAGGAAATAACCTAAGGTGAAAGCACACTGTGGCTGGCTCCTCCGCTTCTCTCGAACACAGCCTCAGTGTCCCACAGTTTTAGAAAACGTCAGGGGAAAATTAATAATTGGGGTGAAGGATGCAATTCTCGTGATGATTTCATTAATTTCCGGGCTTTCAGAAACAAGCTGCGGGGCTGGGACTTGCTCACCTCTCGCTTCCAGACGCTGCCCCAGCAGGCGAGCAGGCTGGGGGAGCCATCCCCAATTCACAGAATCACAGATTGGTAGGGGTTGGAAGGGACCTCTGGAGATCATCTAGTCCAACCCCCCAATAAAGCAGGTTCACCTAGAGCAGGTTGCACAGGTTCATGTCCAGGCAGGTTTTGAATATCTCCAGAGAAGAAGACTCCAACCTCTCTAGGCAGCCTGTTCCAGTGCTCTGTCACCATCAAAGCAAAGTTTTTCGTCACATTGAGATGGAACTTCCTGTGTTTCAGTTTGTGCCCATTGCCCCTTGTCCTGTCGCTGGGCACCACTGAAAAGAGTCTGGCCCCTTCCTCTTGACACCCGCCCTTTAGCTATTTCTCCTAGATCCCCTCTCAGTCTTCTCTTCTCCAGGCGAAACAGAACCAGCTCTCTCAGCCTTTCCTCATACAAGAGGTGCTCCAGTCCCTTCATCATCTTTGCAGCCCTCCACTGGACTCTCTCCAGTAGTTCCCTTTCTTGTCCAGAACCGGACACAATATTCCGGATGTGGCCTCACCAGGGCAGAGTAAAGGGGAAGATAACCTCCCTCAACCAGCTGGCCACACTCTTCTTAGTGCACCCCAGGTACCATTGGCCTTCTGGGCCATGAGGGCACATTGCTGGCTCACAGAGAGCTTCTTGTCTGCCAGGACTCCCAGGTCCTTCTCCACAGAGCTGCTTCCCAGCAGGTCAACCCCTAACCTGTACTGGTGCTTGGGGTTATTCCTCCCTAGGTGCAGGACCCAACACTTGCCCTTGTTGAACTTCATTAGGTTCCTCTCTGCCCAACTCTCCAGCCTGTCCAGGTCTCACTGAATGGCAGCGCAGCCTTCTGGTGTATCAGCCACTCCTCCCAGTTTTGTATCATCAGCAAACTTGCCGAGGGTACACTACGTTCCCTTGCCCAGGTCATTGATGAATATGTTGAACAAGAGTGGATGTGGACCCAGTACTGACTCCTCGGGTGCACCACTAGCTACAGGCCTCCAGCTAGACTCTGCACCGCTTATCACAACCCTCTGGGCTCTGCCATTCGGCCAGTTCTCAAACCACCTCACTGTCCAGTCATCTAACCCACACTTCCTAAATTTGCTTATGAAGGTGTTACGAGAGACAGTGTCAAAAGCCTTACTGAAGTCGAGGTAGACAACATCCACTGCTCTCCCTTCATCCACCCAGCCAGTCATTCCATCATAGAAGGCTATCAGATTGATCAAGCATGATTTCCCCCTGGTGAATCCATGCTGACCACTCCCAATAACCTTCTTTTCCTCCACATGCTTAGAGATGACATTCAGATTAAGCTGTTTCATCACCTTTCCAGGGATGGAGGTGAGGCTGACTGGCTATTTGGGATGGCCAAGGAGGCGGTTCTGAGCCAGGGCAGGCGGGGCTCACCCTGAGTTGGTGGCTCAATCCAGCCTGTCCTGGATTGAGCCACCTCAATCCACCTGTCCTGTCCTCTTTTCCAGTCTCCTCCTGGAATTGCAGCATCACTCCTTTTTTGTGAGGGTCTGGCCCTGCTTGGGCTGCAGAGCAAGCCTGGGGGCTGTCCCGTCCTTGTCACCTTTCCATGCCACCTGACAGGGTGGCAAGGGGCGCGTTCTCCACCATGTGCAATGGGTTTGCTGGGCTCCATGGCAGACATCGCCTCTTCCTTCACAATTTCCTGCATTCTTATTAAAAAAACCTAACTAAACTAAACTAAACTAAACTAAATTCCAGAAAATATGGAAGCTCACAGCAAGGAGGCTTTTCCACCTCAAGGCTTTGTGTCCCCAAATGGTGACACCAGGCATCCAGGATGACTGTGGGGAGGCTCGTTCAGCGCTTGCAACACGTTTAGTTCTAGAGGCAGAAGACATGATTAGTATCACCACTGAG